AACGCAGCATAGTGTTGTCATTTTGTACTTCCTTAAAGTTATTCAAGGCATCTAAGCGTGTTTCTTTTCATTGAATTTCGTTTCTGTCTACATGCTGAGTTATATTAACAAGCAATATTATTATGCAGCACGTTCCACTATTTTTGATGGCAGCTATTCAAACATGTTGAAAAAGATATAGATTGAGCTTAGATTTAAAGACTACGGACCTTACACCAAACTTTAAATTTTTTTTTATTTAGATCAGATGTTGTTATCTTTACCTTTTAGCCCTTGATAACCATCCACGACGATAGCACACACATCAGATATTCATGGGAAAATCATTCGTGTTATTCTAAGAGATACGAGAAAATTCAATGCAAATCAAGAATGTAGGCGTTTGTTTGGGATGATCAATTTTTAATGAATACAGCAAAATTATAAAGGGGAGCATAGATATAATTTTTAGCTCCCTTCACTTCTAATCAAATATCAATCATTTGCTACGTAAATCCTGATATAAGCATTCAATTAGCTCCATTCTGTAATAAATGTAGTTATCTTATGATTCACGTTTTGAAAATGATAAAAATTTATTCCTTTCCTTAAATCAGCTGTGCCACATGGTTTGTTTATATTTAGCGTATTTTGACTCGCCTGTAAGTATTTCATTTTTGTGGAAATCAGTTAAAAATAATTATTTTCTTGTAGCTTCATTCCTCTCCAAAAAAATAATATGATTCTATAAAAGATCGAATGAAAAATGTGAAGGGTAAAGGGTGAAGAGGAAAAAAAAGATGAACGATATTCATTCAAGTGGCGTACATCGGAAACACTTACTAACCTAAGGACTGGGTTAAATATTCTTTTTTTTTCTTAGGCATACACAAGCCATCTTACGAGAAACTTGATTTCAAAGATACTAGAATGGGTAATACGTTTGCTTGTTTATCACTGGAAAAAAAAATTAACTTAAGGAAGCATATAGGTACAATTTAAATAAAGATCGTCTTTAATATCTAAATACGCAGCCTTATCACTAACACAAATATTTTTACCATTTTGCATTTGCGCGTTTTAGATGTTGATAAGGACGCTGCTTTATTATACATTCTCAGTCAGTGAGTAACCGTTTTTACAAGGTTGCTTTAATACGCGTTTAATATTAGAATGAATAATCATCTTTACAAAGCCATGCTCATCTCTATGATCTTCCTGGTGCGACCCGTTTACTGACATATTTGGAGCATCCCAGGAAGGAGCAAAATTGTTCAGATATATACAGATCAAATTAGTTACAATACTAAAATAAGTAATGTAATGCGTCCATATTACAAAGGTTTAGGGTAGAGATATTTAACTTTGATAAAAGTAGGCTTTGGAGTTGACTTTTAGCACTTTCTATTGTTATCCACAAACTACAAGCATTCACGGGTACTGAAGCTTTTAGATCAAGATTAACTTCTATTATCAAAACACATTTACATCAAGAGCCTGAAATCAATGGCGATAACTTGAGAAATACAGAAGCAGAGCGTAAAAAAATACCTCCAGGTACTTTCGAAGCACTTGACTCCCAGCATGGTCCCTACTGGACAGGCAACACTGCCAAGCGTCTGAAAATAAATGTTCTGTCACTGTACAAGAGCTACTTACATGACAACTTTGACAGTTTGTTTGATGAGGTAAAGGAGACGCTTAATGAACAAACAGAGTCAGAGGAAGGTGAAACAAGTACTCAATCAGCGGAAGAGCAAGTGAAAGTGATTGTAGTGCCGCTTGGTCAATTCTTGCGTAAAGATCTCTCTGATGAATTGAGGTCCATTGTTATGAATAAACTTAGCCCTGCAGCCTGCCAATTCTCTGATTTCGTTTGCATTTTCTCCCTTGTTGTTCAAACGACAGTGATAACATTCTCCTCGTAAAGGAGCCATTTACGTTAATTCGAGCGGAATTTTGAAAAAATAATCGTTCAATGCATTCTATAAACTCTCCCGGAAAACCAAATTTGTATATAGCTTTGAGCAAGTACTGTAGATAGAGCGGTCGTATGCTTTTTTTGATCAAGTAGTAGGCTTACACCTTCTGTTTGCTGGATTTGAGACTGTTGTAATAATAAATGAACCAAGAGCCCATTTTCCTCAATAAACCGTTTTTGTAAATACCCCTTTTGATATGGGTTAATAATATTTGACATAATGGGAGCTAACCGTTTAGTGAGTAATCTAGTAAATGTCTTACCACTGCAGTTTATGAGAGAGACTGGCCTCCAGTCTTTGAGCTCGCTTAAATTGTCTTTTTTGGCAGTAACCTGACTCTAATATCCTTCCAAGACGAAGGAAAAATACCTTTGAAGAGCGCGTCGTTTTAAGCAGTGAAAACTAGAGGCTGCAGAAAAGATATGTCGAAAAGCATCTCAAGGTAGGGATAGCCAAGACCACCACTTCCAATGCAATGTAACTGTTTAAGAAAAAGCACAGTGTCCACGAAATGTGAAAAAAAAAGACAGCGTGTTGGACAGTGTCCACCACGAAAAAGGACTTAGACGACAGAATGTGAAAAAAAAAACTTTCCCCTTTTCTTTCCTTTCTTTTTTTTTTTTTTTTTTT